TATATAAATATATATATATATATTTCTGATTGAGATTAGGTCCCATGAAGGGAGACGAAAGAAATACTGGGCTACCATTGCAGAACTTTCTGACAATGTTAGCTGATAAGATGTCATGTTGGCACTCTGCTGTCTTCTAATCTACTGAAGTGAAACAAGTATGCGAAGTAGACTTCACTTGCTGCATGCTGGTTAGAGATCTTTAATTCAGACATTGCCAGGCAAGTAATATTTTCAGAATGTAAGCAATGTCTGCCTTCATATCTCTCTTAATGACATGTATAGTTTAAAGGGTCCATTTATAAAATGTTTTCACCCAAAATTCCCACATTTTTCCAACTGAATAAATTAGAAAATCCTGAGTGAAGAGAAATGGTTGTGAGAATCTTGGGTGAAAACCATTACAATTAGACCCCAGCGTGCTCTGGGGTCCATTGTCCAAAATCTACTGCTTCTGAAATATATTCCACAGCCCAATCATTTAAAATAAATCAAATTAAAAAAAATAGATAATACTATTTTTGATTAGTTCATTGCAGGGGTAAGCTTTCTCGACACTCCAGCTGTGGTGAAATTACAAATCCCATCATGCGAGTCATGTCTCTGGAGTTGAGGTTGCCTCGCCTACTTCTGGTTTATTAGGTTACATTACAAAACTAGTTATTATATATATATATTCCATGTACAATGCCTCCAACATTTATTGGATGTTGCATCAAATTTTCCAACCTAGAAGAATATATATTATATATATAAAGCAACAAAACACATACTGGAGAACCAAAGTTATGGCCAACTTCATGAGCAAATGTGATATGAGAGACTTTGGGAGGAACATGGGAGCCATAATTTTGTACAGTGATGATTCCGGTGTTCAGGGACTTCTTCTTGCCATCAGAATAGAGTTTGCTCTTTTCGCATATTCCACCAGAACTGCCTGAAAGTAGAAAACAGTACAATAACACATTGCAGCAAATTCATTTATAAAACGTATTATACAAGAGTGGCTTGTAGTTTTAATAGAGAGCATAACAGAATGAGTTCTTGGTGCCTTGATTGAAACACGTTCCTGCTTACCAAGGACATCATAGCAATAGGAAGCGGAGCTAGATTTTTAAGACTATCATGGTGCTCAAATGTTTCCCTTCTAAATTCTGGACAGCCAGCTGTAGGGCAAGAGGGGTTTTCGTACGCCCTCTTACTAAGCACCTTTGTGTATATTTTTACTTTACCAAATGCTTTTACTGCACTACGTTTTGCGCCATGCTTTGCAGGTCCGTATAAAAGTTATGATATACTATATGTAGTTACTGCTGATACAGTGACTACAAAAAACTAGTAGTAATGTCTAAAAGCAAGAGCTCAAGTATTTACGCCACACTTTGTCTCCATACTTCAGGACATTTTTATTCAAACATTTAGCATTTGCTGTGTAGCCAAGTGTAACCTATTTTTATTTCACAGTTTTGGGAAGAATTAAGAAAATCTGACTACTTTTGTCCATCAGGTTGACTAGTGTAAAGATCGCAACCATCAGTAGCAGAATACTACCACATGGTCCATTGAATACTACTATTCCTTTTAAAGAAATACAACTTTTACACTTCTCTATAAATTGCATCAACGAATGTTGTACATAAGATACCACATGTATTAGGGTCCCTTTAAATGCAAGGTATGCTCTGCTACTTGGTGCCATATTGTAAACATTAAATTTCAATTTATGGTGTGAAATAGCAAACAGAAATAAACTGCAAATCTAAACAGGTGATCATTTCTGGAAATAGCTTTTTTTTGTAAACAAAACCACAGATGTCTGCATGATGCTGCAAATATTAAAGTGTGATACATGTTTAAATTCACAGCTTCTGAAAAGTGACATCAGGCATTGAAAGGCAGATGTAAAAAGAGGTCATTTATCTGGCATTGCAGAGGCACATGACGGTACCATACTGTAACAGGCTGTGCTTTCTCTGGTGAAAGCAAGTAGTTGAAAAAGAATTTTCATTGTTCATGAACCTTCTCACAGCAGGGACCTATGTGCCTACAAACTCAAAAACAGCAATTCCATCCACTCCCTGCTGTGAAGCGGTACCTGCAGGCATCTCATTTTTACTTCTAATAGATCAAGAAATATGTAAGCAGCACAATTTGAGGAATGATTTTGCCCTATGACAACTTGCTGTCTTTTTATCGTTCTTACTGTGAGAAGTAAATTTGATTATCAGACCACAACAGGGAATAAAGTGCTGCAAGTTAATAAACCTCTCACTTTTGTCCCGGAAATCTATTTAGGAGGATTTAGGAGACTGTGCTGCAAAGTGTCTGACAATTCAAGTTTACTACCAGAGCAAATAAAGTCATTTCAAACTACACTTTAGTCTTTTGTGGCTACAGGATTTATCTGAACGAACAGGATATATCATTTAGCTCAGACTACCCAGCTGATACGTCACCTATCACAGGTAAAGTAAAATGGGTTGATTTTTGGCGGAAAGGCAAAAAAGCAGCCAGGTAACCTGAAAAGGGTTAAGAGGATGACTGAATAGATGGATTACCACCTGCTGGTCATCAATAAATGTAATCAATTCTCTCTGTTGGAGTGAAAATAACTGTAACCTTCATTTTTTCAGTAAACAAATTAATGCTTGATCATTATTCCATATAAAACGTTTTAAACCAGTAGATGATAAAAGCAAAACTTCTCAAAAGTATATTTAGCAAAGGTGCACCATAAGAATGTGTCTGGCGCATTTACTTTATATTGGCCTGGGCTGGAAGAAAGAAATTAACAGCATCACATTATGAATGTTATAGTTTTTCTCTTGCTGGTTTTCTTTGGATAAGAACTTGTTAAATTGATCCTTTCGCCCCGATATCAGAGTGCCTAGAAACACCAATAAAATCCAAGCTGGGCTGCCAAGATGGTTACTCTATGGCTCCCAAGCAGGACAAGCAGTTAGAGAATTATAGCTGCATACATGTGTGCTTTTCATTGGCCCACTATTTTAGGAGTCTGTGTTAACAGGCTTTTCTTTGTAAGAAGTGGCTTTTGCATTTCCATACAAGTCTATGGAAAATCAAAACCCACATATAAGCAGGTACAATACAGGTCAGGGGATGGTCAATTGCAGGTCGATTGCATCAGTCAATGAATTCTGAATGACCTCAGAAGCAAATCAAACATTTTAAACTGATACCATTGATACAAGCCCAAAGGCCATTACACAGACACTTCAAAAGTCAATCCCTTGAGAAATGGCTATGGACTTTCCATCTACATTTGTTTATTACAAATAAATCACTTCCAAACAAGTTTTGCAAAAGGCCTTAGGAATTTTCCAATTTTTCTGAATGAACAGCTTCTAAAAAAGGTCTGATCCTCATCCAATACATATTAAAGACCACCTTATTAAACAAACGCCACCATATACTGATTATGGTCTAAACATTTAAGATCACTGACGTAAAAAGTGTGTGAACCCTTAAACTTAGTAACTAGCGGACTCTCCTTTTTCGCAATCATCAAAACCTAGCAATAGCTGCTTATTAGATCCATGCAGCAGTTAAAATGGTCACTAGAGTTAGGTATCCAGTCACCGGGTCATGTACCCGTCAGTGATTTCTTGCCTTTGTCAGTAAATTTACACTTTTACCATACATGCAAATCATTAACATTGAGTACCTGAAGGGGCTCCAACCCAAGCAAGCCCAAGGACACCGTCATCAAAATCTCTGTCTGTAAACACATAAGCCAAACAGTAATCATCATGGTTCTGTTCAGAATTTAGCTCCAGAAACTTCTCCACGCCAATATTGGGAAAGCGAAAAGGATTTGAAGGATCTTTCTCATCAGCTGTAGTGTTGATCTGGAAAAAAAGAAATATCGTACAATTTTATAGTCTTTTCCGCTAACGCATTTCTCCACTTACAGCTCAACTTACTGGAAAGCCTACTGGTTGCTTCACTACATCACACAGCTAGACAATCTAGGTAGCAGTGGGAGTTCTCTATATAATTTTTTCTAGAGCTACACACAAAAATGAATGTCATCAGCCCTTGCCTGCACAATACTCGGTCTTTTTTTCTGTTTGCTGATCATGTAATACAGAGCAATACAGCCTCAAGCTGCATTACTACGACCATATGGTGAATGATATTGGTTCAATGGACCATGTGCTACCTTATGTCGCAGAGTTTTTACATGACTGATATTTTCATAATTATGTGCTGTAGAAGCACTAAAGTTTGAGAACGATAACAGTCTTCTATGCCATAATTTTTAAGTTGTGAAAATTAAGCAACAAATATGTTATGTGAAACCAGCATTTATGGTGTTAGGTTGTCTAACACAGCATAACTAAATAATCACTTACTAGGCCTCTGAATCCATCAGCGCTCCCTGTATTAATAAATCTACAAGTTCAATCTCGCACATCTGATCTCTCTGTAAGCTATTGGAAACCATTTTCAATGGGTAATTAGGCTCAAGATGTCTGTATTAGTATTCCAAACTAGGGATGTGATTCTTTTACTGTTCATCCTCTAAAATAAATTAATGTTTTTACCACAATAAAGAGTTACTGTGAAAGGCAAGCATGACTAAAAACATATATATTCTATAAAAAAAGCACTTATAGAAAAAAAACTAAAATAATTTCCATAATATCTTGCCTAGGGTTCTCTACCTGTTCCAGGCATTGCCAATATTTCTCCCCTCAAGCTTTTTCCAACGACTCCATAGGGCAGCGGTGAGCTTTGTCTGGGCGGACAAACATCCGAGGATCAGCAGGAAAACCCTGACTCCCTCCCGGGATAGAGGGGGGGGTGGGCCTGCCGGACTTCCAATTATACCACAAAGCTGTTCACCTGAACAGGGTATTGGATTGGCACGTCCACCGAAACGACAAGCTCTGTTTATCCCTATACAGAGCGTCCTGTCAGTACCCTCTGGAAGGGCTCCCCTGGATCTCGTCCCCCATCCTGCTGGCAGTACGGGACCACCCTTTGATTTCCACCACAATCCGACTTGCCAGGCGATGCTCAAGCACCCCACACTGGCTCCAGCCCCCTCGCCACTGACGCCGGTGATAGGAGATCCCGACTTTGCGCCGGGAGCGGACACTGCTCGGTTCTCTAGACTGGTGACAGTGGCACGATGCTACATACCTTCTGGTCCTGTCCGTATTTGAAACCCTTCTGGTACCAAGTGCTATCTGTCATCCAGGACCTGACTGACGGACCTCAGAGATAAACCGGCGCCGTCTCTGCTACACGTCAGCCTCCCCACTCTCAAAATACCGAAACTCACTCACATGCCACTATTAGGCGCTGCTAGAGCCACTATTCCCTTGTTGTGGAAACAAAGGAGCCCGCCCACCATCTCGTTATGGCTCTCTAAGGTACGAGAGGTGTATGTCCTGGAAGACCTGACAGCTTCCCTTAGAAACAACGAAGGGAGGTTCTTGGCAACCTGGTGAGCATGGATCTACTTCCAACACTCCACCAAATATGCAGACCTTGTGTCAGATTGATGCTGAAGCCGCACACCCAGGGGCCGTGTTGGCCTTCCTGAATCATACTAATTGAGGGGACCTCCCCCGGCATGACTAACTTCTCTGCCGCCAGAGGTGGCGAGACCGTCTTTGGGCGGGGACGCAGGCAGCGACCCAGGACCCTACCCATCTTTCTCACCTTTCCTTCACCCTGTGTCTACTATTCCCTACAGCTCACTCTGCTCTATCCTTGCTCATATCTACTTTCACTCCCAGCACTCTCGCCTTGGATGAGGCTGAGCCACTACTTCCCATAGCAGGACTTCTACACTATAGCATTAATTAGATGTTCTGCATTCCTCGAGTTAGTACAGTAATGCTTATCACAACGCAAATTTGTACCGACTGCAGAATTTATCTTTAATATAAGCTCACCAGATGCTCTTACTAGATCTACGTAACATGTTATGTTTGATAACCGAACAGTTTTGTATCCATGCAATGCTCCTACTGGAACTGTATGTAAAGAACAGTAACCACATGTGTCGTGGTAGTTGCATCTGTAACCTGTGCCCGTATATTCATGATTGTATCCTTGTTCTGATAACTTGTCAGTTAATAAACGAAAAAAAAAAAAAAAAATTTCCATAAATAAATGTTTAGACTGTTCACACTCCTCCTGTAGTCCATGGAATATGAAACTTATTTAAAGGAGCTCTATCTCTACAAAATAGATATGGAAAGAACAGCGAGCAGTGAATATAATGTGGTAATTCCTAAACTTAAGATGGAAGACAAGCAGCACCATTAGTCCCATATACTCATTTTCCTCTCCCTGCTGTTCTATAAACAGATTTAGTCACTGCCAAGGAAGTCTATGGGGACCGCCATATATAGCAACTAGTTTCAGTAATAAAATAGTATAGGTCAGAAATACAGCACCGGAAGTGTTGAACCAAAAAGGTACCACTATGCTCTCATCCCAGTTTTTGGTGAGCTAATAACGCGGAGATAGGACAGCACAGAGAAAACTGTAATTAAGACTTATTAACTGCTGCTGTTCTTTAAAATAGATATTTTAAAATAGATATCTTGTATAAAAAAAAAAAAAAAAAAATTTAAAAGCCTTTGCAGCCCACCAGCTTAAACTCAACAGTGAACAATAGGCCTAGAATTATTGTTTTCACTTTGGCGTGTGCGGCAATACCTGCCATGATAAGCCCCCTAAGTGATAGCACAGTACAGGTGACAGGTTCTCATTAAGGACCCATCTGAGGTCACTTTCACAAGAAAGGTTATAGCGCAGTATGAACATGTAAACAGTCTGTTTACATGTTGGTTCTGCCGCAGACGTAGGCCTTCTGTCATTTATCCAAGCAATCCAAAACTACACAAATGATGATTAATGTATAAGTTAAGGTTATCTTCAGGAAAATCAGTGAATTCAGAGATGCAAGCAGCTGAAATTCTGTGCAAATTTTGACTTTCTGTAAAAATTCAACCACGTCCCTACCCCCCTAGTTACATAGATAGTCAGGTTGAAATAAGACACATGTCCATAGAGTTCAACCTATAGAGATAAAAAAAAAAAAGAAAAGCCTAAACTAAAATGCTATGGCCACAATTACCCACTGTTGAACCAGAGGAAGGCAAAAAAAAAACCCTATAAAAGCATGGTTCAATTTGCTCCAACAGGGGGGGAAAAATCCTTCCTGATCCCATAAGGCAATCGGATATTCCCTGGATCAACAAGCTCTGATTCTTAATATACCTATAATAACTCAATATCCTGTAATATTCTGTGCATTTAGGAATACATCCAGATTTTTTTTTTTTTTTTAACCCCTTCGTGACTGACGACGTCAGCATCGGGGCTGTTTAAAAAACGGAGCTAGCTAGAACCAGTGAGCCTCTCCATTTGGTAGGCAGCCTTGATGGTTAAAAGATGTTCAGGAAGCAGGAGGGGGGTAATGCATTTTTTTCATCATATGCTCAGACTGCATCCCACCATTTTATACTGGACTGGCTGAAGATCTAAAGTCTATAAGAGGCCCCCAACCTCCCCTCGTGTTGTGGCATATCAGGTTACTATACATGCAGACTTGTAAAGTTACTGAAAGGTCGAAATGACAAACTTTAATGCTTTAAAAATGTTTAATACTCACCCGAATGCGCTTCACCATGAAGCTAATGTTTCGAATTCCCATAAAATCAGTTGACTGATAGATGGTGTCAATGGCTTTTACATGGCTGGATATCTATTAAACACAAAAAAGTTACAAGTTTTACACACTGCTTTTTGGGACAGATCATGCTTCCTGCTAAAATCAACAAAATATTTAGGTAAAAATACATGCATTTAAATCTGAAAAGGAAACAAAAATCAGATTCTTAACATTCTACCATCCATTACAGTTACCATGCAGAAGTTGTATATCCTGCTTAATTGAGAAGCAGAAGAGGAACTATAAAACTGAAGATTTTTGAAAGTATTGCTGCCTGCAGTACTGGGTTCAGTTTAGCTCAGTGACACCAACAACACTGACTTCATGTGTGTTTTTGATGCTTTTACAGTGGAGGCTCCTTTCCGATTCAGGCTAGGTTCACACCATTTTCTGGACCAGATCTCTAACGCATTGCATTTTGCCGCATTCCAGAGCTGTTTGGTTTTTTTTTAGCTTAAGTTGGTCTTTTTCAGGTGCGGTCCAGTGCATTTGCATGTATTTTTGATGCGTTTCCATGTGTTCCAGTGCATTCCAGACCAGACAAAATGAGACAATCAGTATTTTTTTTGTCTAGTCCCGGACCAACTGTGCTGGTGTGAACAGAGCCCAGAATACCACAGGGATACATTGGGATGCTTTTTTGGTCCGGGAACAAACTGTTCTGGTCTGGACATGATCCGGACATGGTGTGAACAAGCCCTCAGTCCATAAATGTAGAGGTAGGTAAACCAGTTTTCAGTATATGTGATGCTGTGTATGTTTATGTGACTCTAAATGTACTGTAAATCAAAACTGAGTAAAGTGCCAATGACTAAATAGGATTTATATGTAAATGTATTTGGGAAGAAAATGCCCACTTATATACATTTAAAGAAACCTATTTATTTTTCTAAACTGCACTGTAGAGATGATAATTTTATTTTTTGGGTTCAGTTACTGCTCTAAAGACACAACAGGAAATGAGAAGAAATTCTCTTAAAACAGCATTGGAAGATTTCACCTCACCTCCTTTTTGATGACAAGTATAAAATTATGGATTACCCATCATGTCCTTGTGACAAATAGAAAGAATACATCTCCCAGATAAAATGTATCCAATCTTTAAAAATCCTGTTCTCAGCTGACAATAAACTGCATGTCCTTCTATTGTAGGCCATCTTCTTCCAGTTTCCATGTGCTAGGAGGTTATAGAGATGCACTTTTAAATACCACTGTTGTAATTAGTGATAATTTAAACATATGCCCTCTATTAACCAGGTGTACCGAACAGCCACTCACTAAGCCCTGGTTTACACCTATGTGTTGTTGAGCAGTTCGAAAAGCGCTTTTAACTGCCCAACACAAGAAAATCACATGATTTTCAATGGCCCCAGTTCACACCTGAGCAGAAAAACACCTAGCAGGAAAACGGCAGACACCTGAAAAGATACAGGAGCTTCTTCGGGCAGTTAAAAGCACTTTTCTTCTCCATAGACTTCCTTGGAAATGCCCAAAAGCATCTTGCACATTTTTGTGAGCATTTTTGCACGTTTATACGCGTGTTCTTCCACAATGGTTTATGAGCTGCCAATCAAAACGCGCATCTTCATGTACGCATGTTAAAACGTGCATACAAATGTGCACAACGCGCATATAACAGCATGCTGCTAACGCGCGTACAAATGCACAAAAATGCTGTGTGTGAAACAAGCAGTCTCTTATCACCGATCTCTGATGTGCGACAACCAATAATCATTTTAATTTAGGTTCTAGCAAGGCATCTGTTGCTCATGTAACTTGTTATACTGTAAACCCCCAGAAATAAAAACAGCCAAAAAAAACACAAAATGTGAACAGAGGATCCATCATGGTGAACATGACTTAACGTGTCGTGTTCGTTTACAAGATACATCCTTCCTTTATGGCTGTCACTTCCAATTTAGCTTTAAGCGCAATGATGAAGCATAAAAGTATTATTTTATAAGACTTTTACTCTAAGGATTTCCAATCCTAAATAGTCATGAGAAATTTCTCTTGTGTGGCAGGGCCATTTCTAATAAGACATACTAAATTTATCCCTTGATATCAACACATAGAATGAAGAAAGAAAATGTTAAAGCAGGAAGAACAGGAAGAGAAATTCACACTTTTCAAAATAAATTACCAGCGAAAAGTCACTGGATTGAGCCTACAGTCCATTACAGTAAAGATGCCTCAGGAGGCCTAGGCTTTTGCTGGATGAAAAAGTGCTTGGAAATATTAAGGGTTAGAGATGAAAATATGCTTTAGGTGTAGAAAGCCAGATCATGGGAACATGAGACAAATGAGGCACAAAACGTAAAAACAGAACCTAAAAAATATACTATGTGTACGACATCTGTTGCCAAGTTCCCGGGTCCCAACACTGACTGTGGTTTTTGTGTGCGCGCGCTGCATCGGCAGCTGGTGGCTTCCGTCTCTGCTTCTACCAATGCATCCCTCCAGGTATGATGATTAATGATAACAGACATGTCAGGTGTAAAATGCTGTGATTATGAAATACTTACACTTGCAGAGCATTCACTTCCTGCTTTGAAAGGGCAAAATGACTCCAGTTTGCCAACGCAATGCATACTGGGATTGCCTTGTCAGCAGCAGAGCATTGCTGGGAAATTTCACCTGGTATATTATTAAATCTCAGGGAAAGGCATTTATGTGCATGGTCACATTTCCTAGTCACATGTGCCAGAAATCCAGGAAGTAAAAGGAGAGCTAGTAATCTGCCCTTAGTAAACACGGCCACTGTCAGTAGACGGGGAAGAAAAGAGAAATAAGGTATGCAAAGAATACAAAGCCGGTAATTATCTAGAAGTATTTGTTTATAGGTCGTCATTACTAAACATTTCTAAAAGTGTGTTTGTTGTTATTTTAAAGATATGGGTAAAGGTCCACTTTAAACGGGTCATCTTGCAAATCTGGGAAACAGATACTGAAAAGACAATGAAGCACTAAATGATCTGGTAGAATGTGCTTTGACAGGAAAAGGTTGAACCGTAGGTTTGAATGATGAGACACCTAATCAACCTAGAAATAGTGTAGTGGGAGCCAGAGTGTCGCCTATTGAGACCATTAGAGGAATGTCAAATATCCGACTGTCTGAAAAAAGCTGTAGTGGAATAATAGACTAACAGCTGGAAAAAAAATCCTAGAATGTTTAAGGGCAGGACACAAAGCGAGAAGCACAATGTTCTGGGTAAGGTGGAAGGACAAGACCACCTTGAGAAGTAAGAAGGCTTTGAGCCTCAAAACAACCTTATCCCTGTGTAGCACAAGGGGCTCCTTGCAGGATAAAACCACGTGCCAACTACGTTGATAAGGATACCAAAAAGTGTGCTTCCACTTTCGCAGTCAAAAAATATTTCAGCCAATGTGAATGGGAAACCTGTAACAAATATAAAAGACACTTAACACTTGGAAGAAATATCAGCGCATTGGGATTCCTCCTATTTTGAGTCCTCAGAATATGAGAAAGCACTTTTTCCCTCCTCTCCTTCAAGTAAGGCAGAAGCAGGTAGAGAAGACTCAGAAATGGACTACATGTGGGAGCTTGTTTGTAGCGCATGGTCTCCAAAAGGGCTGCACATTTACCCATAAATTCAGACAGTGGCTTGTAAAATCCATTCTGGAGGGTGCTTAGGAGGTCTCAGAGGAGGGATGCGAGTCAGATTGGGAAAAGCGGTCTGGGCTATCTGAATGATGCCCCCTAAGGGAAATAATACAAGACTTCAATGAGACGTTAAAGAGTCTGGGCCCGTATGGACCGCTGACCAACTACCCTTGCACTTGTGATCTACCAGGTGGTGAAGTGTAGCTCTCAAAGATACTCATGACTGTTGCTGCAAAGCAGAAAGGGTTAAGCTGTCTGTGACCAGTCACTGTAGGCAGAGGCACACCCAGATGGTCAATAGATTTCTGGGCAGTTTTATTTTGCTGCAGCAAGAGGAAGAGAAAAACTAGCTAGGGAAAAATGGCATCAGTTAAAATAAATGCGTTGCCGAACTGCTCCCGCCGTTGCCTGCAGCCAAATGCGTTGCAGCCTACACTCCATTTATTAACACCTTCAGGGAACAGAGCGAAATCACTGTAGGGTGCGGTAATGAACAGACCTCACTTACCAACTGGCTGACTTGCACAAATTTCCCACACTGCAAATACCGACTGGTAACACATGCATTTCCTGATTAAGCATTCATTTTCATGGTTCGACAAAGTCACCTCTCCATTTACAGCCTCCTCATTGGATAGTGAACAAGAATCACCCCCTTCCAGTGAGCTGACCTATGAAGCAGCAGTGGTCTTACCGACTAGTAAATGTGTGTGTATCACAAGAATGGTGAACAAAATACAAATCCCATGACAAGTAAAACAGTAATATTCTAAACGGTCTCCTACAGAGGTGCATTAATGCTTCAGTTGCATCCAACACTTATCATTTTGGCAACAATTTGATTAATCTGTATTCTTATGAGTTACCTGGGCTATCACGGCTTCTCTGGTTTCTCCATACCGCTTGAAAAATAGGTGATCGGTCTGAATGTAGAGCTGACAAGTATTTTTCTCTGCCTGAGCTGCTCGCTTCTTCCTAAGGATGACAGGACCAATCTCTTCATGTTCGTCCATATGTTCCTAAGATGTTGGTGAGAACAAGAAGGTATGTTACATAGAATAGCACTAAACCATAAAAAAAAAAAAAAAAAAACGGAATAGTTTCTAGAATGAAAAATAACTACAATTCATTCATCTAAAACTTAGAAAACCATGTTTAAAACTGATAAGTTGCTGTGCAGTAACTTGTGTGGGGGATACTGCAAAGCATAATAACACACAATAGTGCGATGCGGTGCCAATTATTCTTAATATCACCCCAACACACCAAGCCAATGGAACTGAGTTGCAGCATACCATGTTAACGCACAGCATAATGCAGCACAACAGCATGAACTGGACCTTATTTTTTTGCTTGGTTGGCACAGCATCTACATTTTGTATAATGCATTTCAACAAAAACAACAACTGGCACCAGAATTAAAAAAATGCCAATCCAGCAGATCGGAACAAGCATATCCTCAAGTGACTTTTCAGTGACAAACTCATGCCAAAGAACCATTTCTGGAAACATGTAGTGTATCAAAAAAATAAATATCTATCTAGATATATATCTGTAGATATGGCTATATAGCTATAGATAGATATGGCTATATAGCTATAGATAGATATGGCTATATAGCTATAGATAGATATGGCTATATAGCTATAGATAGATATGGCTATATAGCTATAGATAGATATGGCTCCATCCATCCATCCATCCATATATATATTAGCATTGACACCAATATACTAGAATTGTTTTTAAGGTAATCCAACAATGAGTGTTTAAGTGCAGCTCGTCATCATTCGAAATAAGATAAAATAACCAGTTTAATAAATAACCAAAATTGGTTTCCAGATCATCATGCTGTAGGACAGGCTGGTGCACCACGGCATTGCCAGGAAGAAAACCCGATGGCTCGAGAATGCAGGCTGTTTCCTTAATGCATTTCTAAGCTTACTTTCAAATTCTTACTGGAATGCACCTTCAAAGGGTTAGTTCACCATTAATAATATTATTTTTTTTAATCCATACGCATTGCAGCTTACACTCCAAATTAAAATATAGTCCTCAGTCTTTTTTTATTGCTGCTTCTGAAGGCTCCTCCCCTCCATCCCATCTACATGACAGGACCAGACTGACCATTGGATACGCTACTCCAGCTCTACATGAACGAGCACTGTTCTGTGAGAATTTGGCTTGCCTAACCACACATGCTCAGTCCACCTTTTCTCAGAACAGAGGCTGAGCTGAGTGTTTTGTCAATGAAAGAATGCGCACTGTGCATTGGTGCATGGTTAGGCAAACCGAGTTCTTGCAGCAGAGTGATCGTTCATGAAGAGCTGGAGCAGCACATCCGCAGAGAGGGGGAACCCATGGAAGCAGCATTAAGAAAAGCAAGAATAATATTTAAAAATAGAGGGAAATATTTTAATTTGCTGAATGACAGGCTGAAAAAATTCAATTAGGCATTCCTTGAAGAGAAAGTCCCGACATGACTCAGTTACTCCCAAACATCTCTCCCCCCTCTAGATCATGTCATCATTATTTATTTCACGTGCTTCCTGGAGTGAGTAACCGCTTTTATTACAAACATAGGGAACCTCCAAGAACTACATCACAAAAAAGGTTTAATTCTGTTCAGACAGTTTTCTAAAATAGACAACTCAGACAGAACAGCCAGGTTTTGACCTAATTTTACTCTGCAGTTAAAGCAACACCGCAAAGACAGCACCAGCCTGTGAATAAAGAATAAAGGAGGAGCTACACACTGTAGAGGTCAGCCCTGTTCTCTTCCATCCTATCTGCCAGCAACCCGTGCAACGAAGTAAACACAATTCTTTCCCTTATTTAATATATTTGTATTTTACCCTCTTCAAGCTCTCTGCATAGTCAGATTTAAAGTACTACTTCAAGTGTCACTAAAAAATTTTTTAAAAAAAAACCCCATTCATATTCAGTATCTTAACTATTTAGCTGCCAGAGTCACTGAACGCCACCCCTCTACATTTTTGGCACATGTTAAAAAGCCTATAAATTGGGTGCCTCTGGTTAACCTAATTATGGTACCAAAAACTTTTTATAATAATATTAATATTTTTGACCATTTTCTAGACTTGCTGGCAAGGGAGTGTCAAACAAAGGGCATGGGGAGCTGGCCAGTACCCTAGAGGTTTTTTTTTTTGTTTTTTATGTAAGCAGGAAGCAGGGGTTTTTAATTCTTACAACACTATACATACACAATTCCTTTAAAGGAACACAAAACCCTCAGCTTTTTTTTCTCCTTATACGCAATTTATATTCTCCAAAGCCACATTTATTTATATTTTAAAATAAAGTCTTACTATTTTAATCCCTTTAGAAAGTCTGCTGTGCTCGCTCCTCCCCTCACACTTCCTGTCACTTAGAAAGAGCCGTGCACATTGATTTAAAGGTGTGTTCAGATGCTCTGCAAATGCTGAGTTAGCAAACTGCCGCTGAAGATGTGTTGCAAGTCAGCTCTCAGCACTGCTAACTTAGCACTCGCAGCGGAAGTGAATGTGGATGCAAAGCACGGAAAAGGTGTGGACAAAGCACCAGTGGCCATTTTAACAGTGGACACACCTGGCAGCGCTGGAGAAAGATGCCTGAACCCCGATGGAGAAAATCAATTCAGGGTGGGAACCTACAATTCAATGTTTTGGTGAACGAGTACCCCAAATATTCGTTGGAAAATGGTATTTATTAGTCAAAAATATTTTCCTCCGCCATTTTGCTTAGCACTGTGCAGCTGAAGCGTTCAGTGAAGCTGCTGCAGTGAACTGAAGTGTACAGAACTACACAGTGCTTGGCTAAGGAACTGAACACGCCTCTGGTCAGGTGCACATCTTTCTTTGCCTACAACTCCCATGAGGCAGAGAGGAATCTCTCACTGCACACAGCTGCCTCCCTCTCCTCACTATACACACTGGTCGTTTCATTCCTTTTAATTATCCTCTGCAATGCTCCGAATTATCAAAACTACTTACAAAAAACCTACAACAATCTACACAGAAATACAACTTTATTACAAATGTAGGAGCCGTCTCCTCTGTGACTGTGTGACCAGAATCAGCATGTGAGCCGAGGCTCAGAAGAGAGTATGAGGCTGGTGACAGCTCACATGATGAATCTCCTCACAAGCAGCTCCCCCATTTCGCCCGGTGCCCGCGCCCCTGCTGCACCCCCGGTTGTTACGCCACTGCACCCCACACTCCATCCTTGGAAAGAAATCAAAGATTACATATTTGTGTGAGAGAGCTGAAGAAATCCCAGCTCCTTGCAGAGTCTAGAGGGCAGAGACGGAGAAGAGACACCCTCTGCATCTTGTAGTCCTTCACATTAATGAGCATAGAGGGTGACTCTGTGGATGTCCTGAATCTGCCTGAGAAGAGGTGTATATTTACAACATATACAGCCTAATACAGCAAAACTGACGTTTAAAAAAACTGCTCCTGGAGGCTTTGTTCTTACCCTTCAGATCTGGTATGGATTTTAGGGGGACCCCATGCAAAACAATCACAACACTACACATAAATTGATATGATGTCTCCCCTTCTATGCCATGTGAATGACTAAGGGTTGCATCATAATAGTAGTAATTATAATCTGGTGAATATGACGAGATACCATAGAGGTATTACTGCCTTCATGACAGCGATAAACTCTAATCGTCTCCTGGCACCTATGCAGAATTGCACAGGACCCCTGGAAGTTCTAGACAGGCTGAGCAGTGTAAGGTTCAAATTAACCGCATAACTATATTTAGAAATGTTTTGCATAAGGGCAGAGATTGTACTTTACAGGCCAAGTTCACCTATGGCAAAAATAAATGCATAATATATCAAATATGCATTTCTTTAATATTAGCCTGAAAAGTATTGCAATTGCGATCACTCGATCACAGCTGCAAAGCTCAAACTTCTGCACATTCTCTCCCAGGCAGAGCTCTGTACTGAGGTACGGAGTTTCAGTTAGGAGAGATCGGGGAAGGACGGCTGGAATTCAAACTGCATTAAACCACCTCATACAGCGTGCAGCCGTCCTCGCTCTGGGTAGAGCTGCCCATATTCCCGCATCTACCCAGAGCGAGGACAGCTGGACACTGTATGACCTGATTTAATGCAGTTTGTAGTCCAGCCGTCCTTCCCCATCTCTCCTAATTTTCAATTTTTGTTTGTTCCTTTTGCAAAAGGTGAACTTAGCCTTCAACCTTTAAGCATCCCCAGGCATTGTGGGCAATTCGTTTTTTGAGGCTCTCAAGAACAACAGTATAAACAAAAAAGGGCCTTACCTGTTTCTCTGGTGCAGTTTGAGCCGACATCTGATATAATTTCATTCTTTCAAACACGGAGTGATCTGCACATCCCCCCTGAGCTCCATATTTATGAGGATACTCTGGAAGGCAGAAAATCAAGGAGGTTACAAAACTCCCAAGGCTCAAAAGAGCTTTGTTGAAAACTCATTACAAGTATTGAAATTCACTTTTTGGTAGAAAACTTCCTATCTTGGAGATTAATCTCCATTTCAAATTCTGTCTGCAAAAAAAAAAAAAAAGACGACTTTCCAATTTATAAATTCTTAAATCAATTCAGAGCAAAATAAAAAGAAAACATCTGGAACTTTAGGTGATCTTCATACGCAGTTGAAATAAATTTATATGAACTGTTTGACCAAAAAAAAAAAAAATGGATTCAGAATTCTCTTGAGCATGCCTGTTTTCACTTTACAGGTTCCAGTGTCCTCTCCTTTCTGGAAAAGAAGTCAGCACCATTACCATACTGGGCTAAAGCAGGATATAGTGGTATTACGAGCCTGGTTAGAATATGGAATAGGCAAGAGATGTGAAAATCACAGGACTAGCTGAATAGAATTTTAGTCCATCACAAGAGCGAGCATAGAGTGGTGGCTACTTTACAACACACAGGGACCACGGGGAAGAAAAGTAGCCACCCTTTAGAAGGAGGGAAAGTATCAGTACAAATTTTCTGCGAATGCACTGGATCGGAAAGCAGGCACTGTTGTGCCACGCGTTCTGGTGCAGGCAATCGAACTGGGGGGGCTGCAGTGCCATTGCCTTCAATGCACCGCCACGCCCCCTCCCAGGATGCAGGGGGGAGTTTAGTATGCGATATAGTGCGTTCTAGCAGCTAACCATGCTGGAACACACTGTCAGTGGTGTGAACAAGCTCTTACAAAGGATTTGAGTGATACACAAATAAAATACATTTTTGCTAATAGTTAAGGTACTTGAATGCATTTTTAAGATTTAACTAAAACTAAGCAAACTTTCATTTGACTTTAGTGTCACTTTCATTTTAATGAATATGGAAACCCTTTTACTTGAGCCCCTGTAATCCTAATACCCTTAAACAACCTGTAATGTTTGCATGTTCTGGTCTGCTGAAATGACAGTTAAGTTCATAGGGCAAATTGTTGTGTTCACAAGCTCTAATTATTCTTCAGAAAAGTAGATTCACCACAGATTAATAAAATCATTACTCTCAAAATGCAAGAAGCCTTCTAAATTAATCTGCCTTAGGAACTGTATGGAATTCATCGCATAGCACAAGATGTTATCTTAGAAATTCTAAATTAAACCAAAAAACAAACCTAGGTGAGATACACAAGGCTGTGAGGTGCCAAGAAAGTGTCATCCACACAATTTACTTTGTAAAACCCAAGTGAAATAATTTAGAAACTGCTACGCTAAGCAGTGATCAGCTGCAGAGTGGACAACAAAGTGATGAGCTTGCACACAAAGCTTTGCGGACCAACTTTATGACCTAATGCCGTGACATTTTAAGTACTCTCTACATTTGAGCAGTACTTGCCCAGTCCTCAGGCAGACTAAACAAAAATATCAAAAATCAATGGTTAAACCTACAGAATGCACACTGGTACACAAGCAATATTGATGAACCTCAGAGGAAATCCTGTATGTATATACATATAAAAGTCACGGATTATCTGACATACATGCAAGCTATCTTGTAAAGTAAAAAACAGAATTCTATTCAAGCAAAATCGCTATGATCAAGTTAGCAAGCATAGAGGCCAGTCATGCTACCTGACTGCTGTCTAGAATAAAAATAGTGGTATCTGAAAGCACCGATTATCTCCCCGCTCTCCATTATGGTAAGAACAAAATCTCCAATTGAGTCATCAGCCTATTACTACTACTTACAAACATCACAAGCTGTGAAGACGGATCAGTTGACCTGGGAGACCACATTATTATTAGCTCTAATTGGACTGCTGTCCCTTCCTAATGATTCTGTCATGGCAACAGCTGATCCTCCTTTCAACAAGACATCTAAAAAAAAAACGTCCCCCCTCTGCGTGCTCAAAATGTACAGACACAGGAATTGCCAATTACTCAAAATGGTATTTCAGCTTTTGCAGCTGAATTGGGGTAATACCTATTAAATGTGTTACAGGTTTCCATTCACATAGCAAAACATACATAAATATTTAAAATTTGCTATGACAATCCTAGCTAGCTTCCTGGAGAGCGCTCTGGAGTTGGTTTACCATAAATTACCCTGTGCATACTGTGTTGGCACACCCAATAAATTGAAAATTAGATTTGAAAGCTGTCTGTTCTATCTAAAGGGTTAAAGATCTCAAGGCTTGGATGAAAACACTAAAAGTGCCCATACACCTTACGATTATCGGACTAAACTTTTTGTCCAATGATCGAACCATCGTACGATTTTCGTACGACGGCCTCAATCCTGCCCCGATTATCGCAAGGTTCAATCAGCGGTAGTTAGAAAAAAAAAAACCTGGACGACTTGCGGTAATTGACCGCAAATATTTTCGCAGTGTTAATCGTACGACTTTTGACGAACGGAAATGCCACCAACCATGCGAACATCGTACGATCGACCAAAGTTTTCAAACATGCTTGACCGTCAAAAGTCGTACGATTGTACAGTACTATCGGTCGGGCACTACATTCACACGTTACGGTTGTCGTACGAAAAGTCGATCGCATACTCGTAAGGTGTATGGGCACCTCAAGTTATTGCATTTTGCCTCAGTCTAACACTATCCACACTTGAAAATTGTTCAGAATAGCTAGCAGTCTGCCCAATGGCCTGCTCCAAACAAACAACCAGAAGGGAAAGACAAAGCAAAGGAAAAAAATATATATACAAATCAAATATATTTTAATCTAGCTATGCTGTGTGAATGGCGGTTTCTCAAAATTGTAATCCATTGATGAAACTAATGGGTCCATTTATAAAAAAAATTAAATTGCATAGCTATTCGTACATGTCCATTAGTTCTGTGTAAATTAACCATTTGTTGCGAGAATGGGCCAAATTAAAATGTTCTTAAGGCTCTTTTCTCATTATGGACAGTATTGAAATCAGGACAATATCACATTATGGCCACTAGATGTCACTGAGGCCACATTCACATTTTCTGGTGAATGTGTGTCAGGTTGGTGCGCATTCATGTGTGGTTTTTGTTGCCATAGCCATACGTCAGCACATTCATTTCAATTGGCTGCCGCATGCGCTGCAAAGAAGCTCATACAGCATTTTCGGCTGCAAGCTTCCTGAGTTTTTTGACCACTCATTTGTGTGCATTTTACTGGCCAGTTTGGGGTTCTATTATTAACAGGCCACGACACTGCAATCAATCACGCAATGCGAAAGTGTGAATGGGGACAAATGATCGTAGGAAATAAATACATCTTGGCAACATGAGACAATTTAGCAATTCTGGAGAACGGTCTAGAGAACTAGCAGTTAAATGTAACTACTGCGACTACAGATCCCTGTAGTTAGAATGGTTACATTTATCTTTTAATTTTGAGTTAAAAAAAAGCTACCCACCAAATAAAAGCACCATGGGAAGAACAAAAAGATAGTCTCCATGTACCAGTTAAGTGAATACAATCTAAGCAGAACATTCTAACCCAATAATAAATACTGTGAGCAATAAAATTGCTCACATTAAATTTAGGGATGCGCAGATATTTTTTTTGGTACCAAGTACCAATATTTATCTTTTGGTATCGCCGATACCGAGTACCGATAGCAGTACTTCCACTAGCATGGAGCTGGCTTCCCAGCCAATCAGGAAGCCGGTTGACGTATCATTACCCGCCGCCCGGCTTCCTGATTGGCCGGGAAGCCTGCTCCATGTTGCCTCGCGGCACTACCAAACAGAGGAAATCTCCCTCTGACCGGAAGTTCTGCTATCGGAGCATTTGGGCGAGTAAGAGTACTCTCTCAAATACTCTGTATCGGCACAGATACTAGTAACAGTGCATCCCTAATTAAATCAAACTGCTATGTTCATGTCAAATAATAACAGGGTAATTCACAAGACGGTGAAGAGTTTGGAGAAGACAGGAGAAGTAAACAAACTAGGACAACATAGCTGAACGGGAAAGTGAGCTGAATTACAACAAAAATACACTGCACAGCAAAAAAAATTTTTTACATTTCTGCCCACTTACAGTCATCATGTTTCTAAACAGCTCCAATTCTCTCGTTCGGCTTTCCTGAATTTCCTGTCCAGCACAAGATCACAAGGTACAGACCAGTCTCCAGCAACTCTTTGTCTACTAGCTGGAGAAGGGAAGACAGTGGAGGGGGGGGGGGAAGCAAAGGAGTGTCTTCTCTTGCTGTGCCTATGCTTGCGGAGAGACGCACAGCTTATCATCACACATACAAGGGTGTCTCCATAGAACCCAGCAAGGGAAAGAAGCCACACTAAAACAGGAAGTCAGGGCCAGTGCTCAGGGAACCAGCTGATTCTGCAGGAAACAAACTTTATCAACACTAAAGGTGCCAATACACTGTACGATTATCGTACGAGAATCGCGGGAAATCCCGCGATCGTATGATAATTGCAAAGTGTATGGAAGGCGTGCAACGTTTCTACTGTACGGTCGCACAAGTTTTGTATTTCGAGCATGTTGGAAAACCAGCCGAGAATCGTACGATTTTCGGCTGGATTGTAGCATGATCGTGAGATTACTGCCGCACGGGCCAGTGTGCGCTAGCGCACACTGCCCATTCAGCATTGCGGTCATCGGAAGCCCGCCCCTCAGCATGGCGGGCTTGCGATTATCGCAATTACGATCTGCCTGTCCAAGATGGGCAAATCGTACGTTTTTTAATTACTTTACAACCCTCGCAAGACAAAAGTCTTGCGAGGGTTGTAAGGTGCATGACCGCCTTAAGAAGCAGCGTGATTTAATCAGCACCTGAAATATCTTAAAGTCAAAAGGTTTTTGATCTAAAACCTTCATTCAATTTTAATCATTACCAGAATAGAATTTTATGGTACAAGAAAAAATGTATTGATATCTATCTCCCAGTTCAGGACTCTATATATGATTAAAAAAATCATTGGTAGATGCGTATGCACTA